AAATTGGAGTGTAAAAAAAACAACTCCCAGCCCCCCCCTATATTCCTTCTATAATAGTCACACCTAAGCCAGTGAATGCATGTTTACCATGATGGGAGACGACGAAATGTCAGCCAACCAGTCCCTGTTCTGTTTTGAAAGGGCACATCATTCACTGAAATGCCGTTGAGTATGCATGTCCTTGCCTAACCTCCTTCCCCTGATCTGGGGTGAAGTTGCTGATAAATCAAATATATATACGCATCTAAGGCACTAGGGCGTGCACAAACTACATCCTTCCGAAATATAGCACTATTTAATTGCACCTTCCCTGACAAACAGCATCACCACTAGCATATTGATTGCATCCACTGTCTCTGTTAGTGTATGTACTTATCCAGAATTAGCGGGAAAATATTCATTATGAGTTTTCACAGTCAGGCAAACTTGCGGTTTGGATTGGCTGGTTTGAATATTTACAATTATAGCAAAAAAGACTAGGTCCCAATAATGAAAATTTGACTTACTTACCAAAGAAGGCCTAATATACAGCTGGCCTCTGTCTGCTCTGCGATTTAGGCGTTCGTTGGCTGAACAAAGTATCTGTCAATAATGGTTCAGCCCCTGCCCGTCGTTTCAATTGCAAGGCTTCTTTAAATGAAGTTCGTCATTTTCCGAATTTTGTAACATGAATAGTAGTATTTATCATCGGCACATTTTATGATTTCTTGTGGACTTGAATCGTGAATCATCATTATTTAGTCTTTGAATTTTTACCTTTAACGTGTAGGTAAGTCTGTGCATGGTATACGAAGGTCCATCTTTGCCAGCTGAAAGGAGCTTCAAATTTAAGAAAGACATTTTTGAAATTTACAGTTAACCATATAACTGCATATATGAGGTGAATATAACCAGCGTTTGAAAATTATCATCCCGAGTCCGCGTGTAACCAACCCGGTCTATTGCAGGTCCTTGACTGTTTTAATTAACCCTTATAATTAGTAAACAATTGTCAGCCCAAGAATAACAGATGAATCTTTATTCTGCAGAACAATATAAGAAAGCAGAGTGGTGTAGCAGCGGTCGTGGTGACAGTAAGCATTAGGTTGGGGAGGAAAGGGGATCATAGCGATGGGCGGTCGCTATATTTGTTACAGTAAGGAAATCGTCATCATACACAAAAAGGCATGGAAGTTCGATCCTCAGTTCACCACATGGCCATCTGCAAAACTGAATTGAAATTCCGGCGCGAGACCTAGGTGCAGAAATTAGTTTAAAAGATACACTGTGAAAAAGGAAGGCTCGTCGGAAAAGAGGGATTTACTCTAAAATGATCAAGCAGATGTTATCTCAAACATCATAGTTTAGCCGCACGAATGTTTTGAGAATATAATCGTACACTGTGAGTAAGAGGACGCCGTTCCGCACTCATGTAAGTCTGCATATAAAAGTTAACTGGCGAGACAGTAAATGTGATATTTAATCAGCCAACAAATATGTTTATTCAAGTAAATAATGTGCAAACATTAGAATAATAAAAACTCTTTACCAGCCCTGACAAATTTCACTTCTTCTCAAACTTTCCGTACACTTATTTGAGAATTTCTAACTTTTTAATGTAACGGTAGCATTAATTGACTTTATTATCATAATGAGAAGTCGGTCACGAAGTGGTGAATGCCCAATATCTGACTGGCAAAAGGATTACTTTTAATGGCTGCTTAAGCTGTAGTATAGTCTGCATCGGATTAACCTTGTCCAAACATATGAGGTGAACCAGAGGACACGCATAATGGATACAAATTACTGCAACTCGGAAGCCATTTTGGCATTCTGGACGTCCTTTTAATCGCAAAACACGGTTAGGGTAAAATAACTCTACTTGGAGGCATTGGTCTTGTAGATTCATTCCGAACAGACGCGAGTCTGCATTTTTTCCGGAAAAAACAGATAATGAAAACCATCATCGGTAATCAGCAAACGACTGCCGCCTTGCAGATTTTTTTACTGTGTCGTTCCTTCTCTCTGTCTGCTCTTTGATACTCAAAAAGATTTTAGCAGTAATCTCGTTTTCGCAACCAACAATAAAAAATATGTTTACGTTTGAGTAAAGTATCTTTAGTTGTATGTTGTTACTTGTGTTTTCAATGCTCACAGATTACTAGATGCAAATTATTCAATATAAAGCAATGTTGAAGGAGACATTTACTAAAATAACACATATTGGCAATAATTTTGACTGGTTGTGACTGATCCAACCTGGGCCGTGCTTGAACGCTCACCTCTTTTTTCTCAAAATTTTGCCACCTTCCGCATTCAGCTTCTGTTAATTTCTGCCCAAAAGGCTTCCCAGCAGTCCCAGTGGAAGGGGAAATATGATAGTCGAGTTCTTCTCCGCCGAAATAGCATTAAGTGTCTGAAGATAACGCAAATGAAGGGCAAAGGGAGATTCCATCAAGACATTGGCGGCCTCCTTTAGAGCGGTGGACGATTTATGCTCTCCCTCAGCGGCAATCACCTGTGTGGAGAGTAATAAAAATTCCATCGCCTAGGCTTTTCAAATAGTCCTTGAAAAAATTTTGTCGGAAACAAATGTGTGCATGTGGAGTTAATCCTAAGAGACAGACTAGACTCTGCCCGAAATGTAATATGAATACTTTTTAAGAAATC